TCTTGAATATTGTGGGAGACAAATGTGGAACCAAACCAAAAATCATAAAAGAGACCAAGATTATTTGTTGGAGAGAGATTGGTGAAACCCACAAGACTGTGGACCCTAGGCACCCTTCAGGTCTGGAACTGAACTCATCCTTACCTTGGAAATGTTAACCATTTAAGAACGGAAGGGCAGCACTTACCCAAGGACCCAGTATAGAAGGCTGGGAAAGAAGGAGAGGGGAGAAGGAAGCAGAAACGCTGTGGGGTAAGGGATGATACATGGAAGGGATTGCAATGGATAAGTGGAAACAGAAATGTATGAACTGTTGAAAAAAATGATGATTTGCTCTGTAAACCTTTATGCAATTCACAAAAAGTTGGTTCTTTGAAATGATTAATGATCTAAACAAACCATTGGCAAATCTAACAAAGGAAAAGGAAAGATGAAAATAACAACTGAAATGAAATGAGAACTGTCACCACAGAGCCAACGGAAATAAAAAGGATGATAGCAGAATACGATGCAAAACTATTACAAAGAATTTGAAAACCTAGAAGAAATTGACCCATGTCTAGAAACACACTCCCTACTAAACTAACCCAGATTGAAGTAGAAACCTGAACAGACTCTTATGAAAGAAATTCATTAAGTCATTGAAAAGCTCCCCCCAAAAGAATCTTGGCACAGGTAACTTCATTGATGAACTCTATGAAAAAATTCCTAGAGTAGCTGGAAGTGATTCTCTTCAAACTGTGCCAGAGGATTGAAAAGGAAGGAAAACCTCCAAGTTCATTTCACAAAGGGAGTAGAGCCTGGATCCCTAAACCAAGGAAAGCCAGCACTACATCCTTAATGAAAGCCTAACCCAGAGAATCCAACAACACATCAAAAAATATATACATCACGACCAAATGTCATTCATAATAGGGATGAGAGAAAGGAAACTCAGGTTAGAAAAACATTTAATGCAGTCCACCACGTAAGCAAAACAAAGGAAAAGAACCATACGATCCTATTAGTCATCGCAGACTGGACATCTGACACAATGCAACACCCATGCTGGATAAGAAATACCTAACAAAATAAGGAAGAGCTATTCTTCAACATGATTAAGGGCATATACAAAATCAATGAGCAGTAGTATTCTCATCAGAGAGAAGCTGAAAGCATTCTCCCTATAAATGGAAACCAGACAAGTATGCCTTGCCTCACCATTTCTATTCAATGTGGTGTTGGAAGTTTTAGCCCGAGTTACCAGGCAAGAAAGGGGAATTAAAGGCATCCAAATTGGCAAAGAGGAAGTTTTCACATGAAACAAAGGGAAAAAAAAAACTCAGCAAAAAAGTTGTTGGATTAATTGAAAGATTCAGCACAGTGATATAAGATGTACAAAATTGCGTAATCAAATTCATTTACACTAGTAGAATTTTGAAAACAAAAATAAAACAGGAAAACTCTATCATTTACAATAGATACAACACTTTAGTATCAATTTAACTAGAAACACAAACAAACAAACAAACAAAGCAAGACAAAAAACCAATGCTGTCACATAAATTCCCATTCATAATAAAAACAAAGTAAAACATAGGGCTTCTGGGTCTGTAGATCTTTTTACCAGAGTAGATAATCTCATTGTTGTCCTGTGGAGAATTTTCACATTACAAGAAACCTTCTTTGATGGTTACCAAAGGTGGAAGGGAAAGAGATCATAAAGCATGGCTAGAGAGTAGACTTGTGTTAATTGGGGTGCAGGGAAAGACAGTAAGTAATAGGAGGAGATTAGGAAAAAATGATGACGGGAGGGGAAGACACTGGGAGGAATCGGAGTCAAAGGCAACCGAGGTAAACACAGTCCTGCCTAGATGTGCGTTAAGGCGTGGATAGATATGCACATCCTATAAGTCGATAGATGGATATATAGGCAGGCTGAACAGGCGTGGGAGCGAAAATCAGACTAGACCGAGGAATACATTTGACAGAGGATATTTGTATATATGTATTTATGAATATATTTTTAGTACATGCAAACAATATAATCATGAATATATTTGCAGCAAAAGTAAATATTCTAGCATATAAGGGGTCAGAGTCTTGAGTTTATGAAAACTTCTTAGGCATGATCAAATACCTTGAGCGAATGGGTCAATGAGCCTTGGAGCTCAGGACCATAGTCTCAGGGGGCACCGAATTCCATTGACATAACATAGTCCATGAACTCCGTGTTCTAATTGTACTTTGGTTAATAATGATAACTTTCCCTGCCATCGAGTCAATTATAACTCATAGCAACCCCGTAGGGCAGTGTAGCACTTAGAACTGCCCTGAGGGTTTTGGAGAATGTACCTCTTTATGAGAGTAGACCGTTTCAACTTTCTCCCACAAAACGGCTGGTTTTGAACAGCCCACTTTGTAGTTAGCAGCCAAACGAGTAATTGTTAGATCACCCAGGCTCTTTCAGAGTTATGACTTGGGTCCTAAAAGCTCCTGAATGGCTGTTGGTTGTTATGAGTCAGAAATGACTGAATGGCAGTGGGTTTTCTTAATTTTGGTTATCAAAGGGGCAACTATTGGTTTTTCCTTGTGTGGAGAAAAGAAGATTGATGAAAATTGAAGAAACATGGAAACCATCCAATGGTTTAATGGACCACAGGAACATTATTGAGACCAGAAGAACTAAATGGTACCTGGTGATCACTGCTAATTCCTCTGAAAGGGAATTGCGTTAGAAGGTCCTGGATGGAGTGGGAGACAAATGTGGAACAAAACACAGAATCATAAAAGAGACAAGGCTTTCTGGTTGGAAAGAGACCGGTGCCCCTTTGTCACTCGTTAGGGTGGGAATGGAATTTATTGCCAGGGTTCAACTTTCAGCTGAATGGGAGGACAGACCTAGTCAGATATGCACACCTTAGAATGAGCGACTCTTTGAGATCAAAAGGGCAGAACTTGTTCAGGGACACAAGGAGGAAGCGAGGTAAGAGAGGGTGCATTGAGGACAATGCAATGGATAAGAGGAGATAAAATGTGCATGGACTGTTGAATGTACAACTGATGATCTTCTGTGTACACCTTCACTGCATAAGCAATAAAAATATACAACAAAACAATAAAAACACACAATTAAAAAGTGCGAGCAAGAGCAAGAGAAAGTTTTTGCCACTCAAGGAGCCCCGTGGCTTCGTGGAGTGTGAGTAGGGCTTCAACGGCCAGGTTAGCAGCTGACCCCCATCAGCTGCTTTCTTCTCAATGATGAAGCTCTCTTCTGAAAGATTTCCAGTCTAGAAACCCACAGGACAGTTCTACCCTGTCCTAGAGAGTCAAAATGGACTTGATGGCAGTGACTTTGGTTTGGCTTTAAAGATGGTCTGTTGAGTCTTCCTGATACAACTCTACACTTGGCAGCCTGGCTTCTCAAGCCCTTTTAGCCTGTGACCTTCATCAACGTTTCTCTCTCTTTGCTGGGGGCGGGGGTTGCAGCACGAGGAAGAAAGCTTTGAGCACATCTAGTGGTTAAAAATTTTAGCCAACAATGACATCTGAGAAAGATATTCCCATAAAAGAAAGGCTGAGAATTGGCAAATCCTGGCTTCCTCACTAGTCTAGATACAGTCTCTCTACCTCATCCCATACGAATCTCTAAAACGTCATCAGTCATAGTTGTATAGTCTGTGCTTCTTAGCACCTTTGCCTAATGGTCTGTGGTTGGGTTCTATGTGACAACCTGTTTTGCTTTGTGCTTAGACCCTTTCTGCTTAAAAAATCAAAGAGTCAAATCCACAGCTATCAAGTTGACTGTGACTCATAGTGATCTTACAGCTTAACAAAAAAACCCAAATCAAAAACCAAAACAAATTCACTGTCATCTAGTCAATGTTGACTCATAGCGACCTTCTATTGGTTTCTGGGACTGTAACTGTTTACAGGGGTAGAAAATCTAATATCTTTCTTAAGGAGCTGCTGGTAGTTTTGAAATGCCAACTATGTGGACCGCAGCTCAATGGCTAACCACTATACCACTAGGGCTCCTCACCCAACCCTATAGCCTAGTCACTATAAGTATAGGAATTCCACATAAGTTCCATTTTTTCTATAACTATTTCAGTGCTACATTTTGTAACTATCCCATATCAAATTCTTCTAAGAAGAAAACTTATTTTTCCCTGTGCCCTTGGTCTTCTTTTGTTCTAAGTTGATGCTTAGCTGGCTGTTGAGTGGTTTAATACAGGCTGTGAGTGGAACTAATCACAACTGCATTAGCTTCATACCCTTTGTGTATGGGATATCATTAAAACCAAACTCACTGTCATGGAGTCAATTCAGACTCCTAGTGATCCATTAAGACAGAGCAGAAGCGCCCCTTTGGGCTTCCTAAACTGTAAGTCTTTACAGGAGCAGAAAGCATCATTTTTCACCCACAAAGATACAGGTGTGTTCAAATGTTTACCTTATAGGTCAGCCCAACATGTAACCCACTGTATCATTAGGGATCCTGGGACTGTAACACATACTCAATAAATGTAGAATATGAGAACATGCTCCTATTCAATACTAAATATATTCCAAAGCATTAAAAAAACAAATACAAAACCAAAAAACCTTTAGGGCCATATTTACAATTTTTCTCAACTAAGGAAAAGTTGAACTAGAACTTTTAAACAGAGAATGAAATGACTACCTTTTGTAGAAGTCAGTTGGCCAGACATCTGAATAGGTCATTTGAACCAACATTACATATGTGGGAATGAAAAACTCACTTAGATACTGCCTTTTTCTTGACTTGATTAGCCCAAGTCTGCTTCATTACACCCATCTATCTTTCAGTTGCCGTTACGTCAATTTGGATACATGGTAACTCATGATCCTTTTAATGGTTGAATTTTATTTTTTTCTGAGGCACCTCTGGGTGAACTCGACCCTCCAGAATTAGCAGCCAAGCTTAGAACCAATTGTACTGCCCAGGGATTCTCCTTCATTACACAGAGCCCTGTTATCTAAGGTTAAAGACTTACTTGCCATGCTTCAACTTTCTTGATGTCTGCACAGGAGCCGTTGGTGAAGAGTCCTCTCCCAGGTAAGCAAGTATATATATCTTGTAGGGCATGGGCAATGGAGTAGACTGCCAGGTACACGTTGTAGGATATCCGCAAGTGTGTATAATCCATGTAGGGGGTCTCCACACTGCTGATGTTCTCATCCCCGGTGCAGAGGGGTCGGAAGGTGGTGGAGCTGTTGCTTGACTTGCTGACTTCTCCTTTCTGGTCTCTGAGTAAAGAGTCCACGGGCGAGGGTCCTTTAGCACCTTCTTGGAGGTGGCAGTTAAATGTTTCTTCCCAAAATTCCTTGGCAAAACCATTGTGGACAGACTTCCTGGGATGCACTTTTTGCAGGAATTCTCGGAAGCCTGGGATCTGCCCTGCCTTCAGACCAAATCCAATCGTGCCTCCAACCACGTGAAAGTACTCAGGCATGGCTATCAAGGAGGAACTGGCCCAGGCCTCACTGGCCAGCCAGATCCTGCCTGTGATATTGCGCCTGACGATCTCCTTGATGAGAGGTTCAAGATCTGGGCCGCTGGAGAACACTACAATGACTTTGGCTGTGGAATTCTGAATCACCTCCACCACCTGATGGATATCTTTCTCTTGAGAATACTGGGAGATGAGTTCACTGAAGTCAATGCAGATGTCCCTCTCTTCAGCTTCCTCTCGGAACTTCTCAATGCCTGGACGGCCATAGTCATCATCAGCTGCAATTGTGCCCACCCAGTTCCAGCGGAAATATTCGATGATGTCTGCCATGGCTGTGGCCTGGTTCTCATCATTGGGGATGGTGCGGAGGAAGGACTTGAACTGATTCTTGTTGCTCAGGAGTCGGCTGGAGGAGGCATAGCTTACCTGGGAAAAAAAAATATCAAGAATCAAGAATGAAAGAGCGAATGGGGCCAGTTGAGTCTCAAGGTTGTTGTGCACATGTCTTTAGGAGCACATGCGCATTGGACAGGTTGTTCAGTGCAGATGGGATGAAAGTGTGAGGGCAGCCAGAATCTGTTCTATGACAGAGTGAGCACCCACACACCTGTCAGTGTATCGGGGCCATTCTCATTCCTGATGGGTGATCTGAGATGGGACTAGAATGAATTGGGATTATACCATGGACTATAAGTGACTCTCCACATTGTGCGTAAACTCACTCAATGCCATAGAGTCGATGCCAACTCACAGCAAACTTATAGTACAGGGTAGGACTGCCCCTGTGAGTTTCTGAGACTATGTCTGTTAGAAGGCCCTGTCTTCCTCCCAAGGATTAGCTGGTAGTCTCGAACTACAGATCTTTCATATCTCAGTCCAACTCATAACCATTATATCACCAGGGTTGCCTTGTAGTGTGTAGGTCATAGGTAATAAAAGAGGCATTATCCTCTCTCTGGAAATATGTCTGCAAGGAGGAAAATGGCTGGACTTTAAAAGCAGAACAGACCTGAAGTTGAATCCCAGTTTGTAATTTATGAGATAACTGACCTTGAATAATCTCCTCGAAGGCTTTAAGCTTCATTTACTTATCTGTATAATGATTGATAGTTACTTTGCAGTACTATCATGAACATTAAATTATGGGCTTTGTGTATACAGTGGCAGACTCCAAACAGGTGTTCAAAAAAAAATCAGAGCAGCTGCTATCTATTATAAAGGGAATAAAATGAAAAGCAAACCCACTGCCTGAGTCATTTCTGACTCATATTGACCCCACAGGGCAGAGCAGAACTGCTCCTTAAGGGCTTGTAAGGCAGCCAGTCTTTACAGGAGGCAGACACCCTTGTCTTTCTCTCAAGGAGCAGTTGGTGGGTTTGAAAGGCTGACCTTGTGCCTAGCAACCCAATGCTTATCCTACAGCACCAAAAGGGATTACTAGAAGCCTCGTGAACCCACTCACATATGTTCACACACTTTGAGATTTTCTTCACATCGATCTAACCATAAAATCAACCCAACAATCGCAAGAGCTACTTGTGATTTCGAGGAGAAATCACTCTTATGCACTGTCAGTTTCTTTTAACCTTTTCTGTGCTGCCTTATGGGACATAACATATCCATATATATATACACCTTCTGCTTGTTGGGCTCATACTGAGCTGCGTATTCTGGTTTCCCATAGTCTACCCCTAGTTACGTGGATTATAAGTATGGCTGCTAACCGCAAGACCATCAGTCGCTTGTCAGGAGAATGGGGAGGTTTTCTGCTCCCATAAACATTACAGCCCCATTGTAATCCTAATCTCTGACAAAATTGATCTCAAGGTGCAAGCCATAACAAGAAGGGACACTATATAGTGCTCAAGGGAACAGCAGATCAAGAACCAGTGAGCATAATAAATATACACGGGCCCAATGAGAGACCTGTGAAATTCATCAATCAAATGCTCCAAAAGATGAAAAAAGAAATCACAGGTTCAATAATCATTGTAGGTGACTTTAATATACCACTCTCTGAGATAGATCACAGGGAAAGAGGCGTACCAAGGAAGCTACAGAACCATATTCTACAGTTAGGTGACTTAAACTGAGAGGCATTTTCAGAGCTCTCCACCCAAATGCAAAAAAATTCACATTCTTCTCAAGCCCACATGGCAAATACTTGAAGAAAGATCACATGCTGGGACACAGTTGAGCCTGTGTAAATTCAAGCACCTAGAGATCACTCAGACTGCTCTGTTGGACCATTATGTCATAAGGCTGGAAGTCAACAATAGGATGATGCAGAAAACAAGGGAAAACAATTGGAGGATGAATAACTCTCTATTGCAAAATGAGTGGGTACTGGTCCAGCTTGGAGACAAAATTAGAAGTTTTTAGAAACCAATGAGAATGAGAATACAATGTACCCAAACTTTTGGAACACAGCAAAGGCAGTTATCAGAGGAAGTTTGATAGCAACAAATGCACACATGAATAAGGAAGAGAGACTTACAACTGATATGCTGGCACAAAACCTCCAGCAATTAAAGCAGAGTCAACAGGACAATCCTACTAATAGCAAACGAAAAATAAACAGATAAATAAAAATTAGAGCTGAGATACAGGAGAGGGAAAACAAGAAAACAATTTAAAAAATCAATGCAGCTAAAAGCTGGTTCTTTGAAAGGATTAACAGAATCTGTAGACTGCTGGCAAATCTATCCAAAGAAAGGAAGGAACAAATTTCAATAGCCATGATGAGGGATGAAGCAGGGGACATTACAACTGATCCTAACGAAATTAAAATGATAATTACACAGTACTATGAAGGCCTATATACCGATGAATTCAACAACTTGGAAGACATGGAAACATACCTGGAAAAACAATCCCTTCCTAGACTATCCCAGATGTACATCAAAAACCTCAATAGAACCATAGCAATAGAAGAAACAGACAAGGTTATCAAGGAATACCAACTAAAAATCCTTAAAGCCTGATGGCCTCACAAAAGAATTCTACCAGGCATTCCAGGAAGAACTGACACCAACCCTACACAAACTCTTCCAGGGCATAGAAAATGATGGCAAACTCCCAAACTCTCTCTATGAAGTAAGTAGGACACTGATACCTAAAGTGGGCAAGGATCCCACAAGAACTGAGAACTATAGATCAGTATCTCTAATGAACATCAATGCAAAAATCCTTAGTAAATATTGTCCAATAGTATAAAAAAGTATATAAAACGAATAATTCACCATGACCAAGTGGGATTCATTCTAGGGATGCAGGGATGGTTCAACATCTGAAAGCCTATCAGCATTATTTGCCACGTTGACAAGAAAAAGGATAAAAACCACACAATAATATGAATAGATTCAGAAAAAGCAATCAACAACATCCAACACCCATTCTTGTTTAAGACACTCAAAAAGATGGGAATAGAAGGAAAATTCCTCAATATAAGAAAAGCTATATATGAAAAACCAACAGCCAACATGGTTGTCAATGGAGAAAAGATGAAAACAATCTTACTCAAAAAGGGGACCATACAAGAATGTCCCTTGTCCCTACTTTTATTTAACATCATACTGAAGTCCCAGCTAACAACATAAGGCAAAGAAAAAACATCAAAGGGATTCATCTGGGGAAAAAAGAGGTGAAACTATCATTATTCACAAATGGTATGATTTTATATACAGAAACCCCCAAAAGCTCCACAGGAGGAGCGCTGGAAACAATAGAGGAATATGGCAGAGTGTCAGGATACAAGATCAATAAACAGAAGTCTACCAGACTGCGATATACATTGAACGAGACCATGGAAGAGGAGATAAAAAAGGCAGTGACCTTCATAATAGCCAAGCACAATGGAAATATCTAGGTATACACCCAACCAAAATAACAAAAGATTTGTATGAGAAAAACTACAGAACACCTTTACAAGAAACCAAGACTGACCTCCACAAATGGAAGAACATCTCATGCTCATGGATTGGAAGACTTAATATAGTAAAGATAACAGTCCTGCCCAAATCACTATATAAGTTTAATGCTATCCCAATACAAATACCTACATCTTTCTTCAAAGAATTGGAAAAACTGACTACTAAATTCATATGGTAAGGAAAGAAGCCCAGAATTAGCAGAGAACTCCTCAAGAAGGACAAAGTCAGAGAGCTTGCTTTACCTGACTTTATCACATATTATACAGCCACAGTAGTCAAAACAGCATGGTATTGGTATAATTACAGATATTCAGACCAATGGCAAAGAACTTAAAACCCAGAAAATCCAGAAATGAAATCATCAACATACAGACAACTGGTCTTTGATAAGGGTCCCAAAAATATCAAATGGGAAGCAGATGCCCTCTTCAACATGTGGTGCTGGAAAAAAATGGGTATCTTGTTGCAGAAAAATGAAGCCAGACACTTCCTTCACTCCATGCACAAGAATTAACTCAAGGTGGATCACAGACCTTGAAGTAAAACCCCAAACTATTAGGGCCATTAATAAAGAAATGGGGATAAACCTAAGAACTTTAGTGGAGGGAATACGTAGGTTATCGGAAATAGGGAAGGGTACAAGCACAGAGAAACACAATTTGACAAGTGGGATATACTGAAGATAAAACACCCGTATGCATCAAAAGAATTTGCCAAAAGAGTAATAAGAGAGCTCACAGACTGGGAAAACATCTTTAACAATGACACATCAGACAATACTCTGCTAGCCTACATTAAGAAAAAAAAAAAAACCATAAAAAACTAACTGCCCACTGAGGAGGTGGGAAAAGGACCTGAAAAGAAGTTTCACAAGAGCAGAAATCTGAACGGCCAATAAACATATGAGAAAATGTTCCCAATCATTAGCCATAAGGGAAATGGAAATCAAAATAACTATGAGATACCACCTAACACCCTCAAAATATCAGAAAGCAAGAAGTGTTGGAGGAGGTGTGGTGAGATAGGAATTCTCAACCACTGCTGGTAGACCTGTAGGTATATGCAGCCATTATGGAAATTGATTTGGCAATACATAAAACAAATGGAAATTGAGCTACCATATGACCCAGCAATTCCCCTACTGGTCATATACTCAGAGAAGGTAAGAAATAAAAGCTCAGAAAGCAACAAGTGTGAATATGAAGTATGAATGTGAAGCCATTATGGAAATCGATTTGGTGATACCTAAAATAAATGGAAATCAAGTTTCCATATGACCCAACAATTCCCCTAGTGGGCATATACCCAGAAGAGGTAAGAAACAGACCACGGCCAGCCATCTGTGCTCCAATGTTCATCGCAGTGCAGTTCGCAGTCGCAAAGAATTGGAAACAACCTAAATTTTCATCAACGGACAAGTGGATTAAAAAACTCCAGTAGATACATACATAAAATGCTTCCTTAAAAAGCAGTGATGAACGCTTGAAGCACATC